GCAGGCGCTTTTGCCGCTGAGCTAAATCCCCAGCCCCTGGATTTTGTTTTTTTATCTACTCTGACAGTCTGTTTCTTTTGACTGGTGAATTGAGGCAATTTACATTTTTTTTTGGTATGGCTAATTGGAGTTATATATGCCTAGCTTAACTGTATGTCAGATTCTTTTCCCATGTTTAGGCAATTTTCTACACATACTTCTGCAAATAGTCTTTTTATGTCATTTGTGTTACTCCTGCTCTTTTGTTGACACCTCTCCATCTTATGTTGTTTTTCTTTCCATCATCTTGCAGCTGTTGAATTGTTATTTCCTGTTTTCTTGTTATTTTTAAGAGATCTTTCTTTTAGTGATCTCTAGCTGCAATGTTATGCTCAAGTTCTGCAAGTCTATCTTCAGTTTCATTCAAGCAGTTTTACCAGCTTTGAATTGAATTTTTAATTTCCTGGGTATCTCTTTGAATCCATTTCATATATTCACATTCTTTCCTATATTGTTCATTCAAGGTTTCCATCATTTTCATATGCCCCTGTATATTTTTATCTATGTCTTCTTTAGATATGCTGAGCAATTCCTTCATTATTGTTGTCTTTTTTTTTTAACTGAGAGATTATTTCTGATCTGATTTCCTCTATAGCCTCCTGGAGTTGCTTCTTTACTTCAGTTGCTATCATTTCTGCAATGTGTGTAATTTCCATTTTGTTCTATGTTGATATCTCCTGGACTTGTCCTGAGTGGGCTGGAGGTCTGAGATTGCATTTTTTCCTTTGTCTTGACATTTTCTATTTCAAAAAATTGTTATTTTGTTTTCTTGCAAGTTTCTTTTGTTTTCTTGTGAGTTTTATCATTTGGTACTAATCATTACTATCACGGCTTCTCTAGGAGAAGTCTGTTCTTCATGGACATCTTGTGTGTGTAGTTCAGTCTTGGTTTGTGTCTGTCCTCAGATCCTACCTTCCCAATTAATTGAGAATAGGATGTTGATTTCTGTTTGGCTCAGTCCCCAGTCTTTTGGTGTAGGGTTGTGATGACCTTATTACCCCACAGCTGCCCAATATTGTTACACAAGGAAGAACAACTGATTACAATGGATAAGACATCCTAGCTACAGTAGTACAATTAGCATAATAAAAGCATGAAGCACAATTTAGAAACTGATAAACTGTGATAACTATTGATTTTGTACCTCAGACTATATGAGCAAAGTCTATAGTTATATAACAGAACTAATCATAAATTAGGAGTGTGTATGCAAAGTTTTTCCCCTTGTTAGAGTGGATTTACCCTGGGTTCCTCTAGACGAGTTGGTTTCCATATCCTGGGTGCTTCCTATACTGGCTACCCATTCTGTAGTGTAAGGGAATGGTCTGGGTGCCTGGGTTCCTCTGGACCAAAGTTCCTGTGGTGGCAGAGAGGTGATGGGTGGTGTTTCTCCCTCCCAAGCACCTCACCGAGGCTCCCTCAAGGGTGGAGAGGTAATGAGCTGATCATGAATACATTTTATGTGGATAATTAGTTTCCCTTTATCTCTATATTGATCCACTTCCATATTCAATACTGAGTCTCCTTAAAACTGGAGTCCTTGTAAAAAATACCCTGAATGACAGTTTATTGCATACTATTTTCTTATATTTCAGAACTAATGTCTTTTCAGGAAGAATTACTTCAGCACTTACATCTGAACAAAATGAAGATAACTTTGAAGATACAAATTTATCGTCCAATGAAATGATACATGCAGGTAACAGTGAAAGTGAACATCAAGCAAGTCATGTTAATAACTTTTCTTCAGATTGGATCAGCTCATCTTTGTCATCACTTCACTCAGAATCAAGAAAATATTTTCTAAGCCATAGACAGCACCCAGAAAATGAATATGAAACAATACAGTTTTCCCCAAAGGAGTTATTTTCACTAATGAAGACTAACAAAAAGAAAAATTCAATATCTTTTGATTTTCTTTTTTTAAAAATTTCTGAATTCACAGTGGCAAATGAAGATCTTGATGAGACACCAGGCCCTCCTGCTCATTTACTTCTTACTGAAGACCAAGTTAGACTTCTGGAAGAAAATGTGAACAATAAAATTCCTTCAAAATCTAAAGCTACATTAAAAAAGGAAGCTCCTAATCTATGCTCAAGATCTCAAGAGCCCCTCATTCAGAATGAACATTCTGTTGAAATGATTATTTCTGCCCAAGCACAAGATTCTTTTCCAGGACAGAATACTATTCAGAATGAAGGGTTTTATGAAGCTCAATGTACCAGTCAAGCCCAACAATTTATTCAGAACCAAAACTCAGTCAACAGGCAGCCTGATACCACAGGCAGCTGTTTTGTTCAGCCTCAAGAGTCAACAAGTAAATCATTTCCTATTGGCACAGAAGATTCAGTCCAGGCCCACGATATGGATAGGAGCCAACAGTTCATCACAGCCCCATATTGTGTTGAGAAGAAAAATGTAATCAAGGGCCTAGAATCTGATGAGAACTTACATGAAGCCCAACATTCTGCCCAGTTTGAAGTTTCAGGCAAGATGAAACATTCAACTAAGGGACAAAGCACCGTATGTGAGAATGCTGAGTTTGTAGTTTTACTTGTTAGTCCTAATTTAGTTGCTGTAGATGTGTCAAAACTAGTTACTTCATCAAACTTAAATCAGCATTCTGTGTATATCTCAATGCCTCTTTCACCTACCACTAAGGGGTTGAAAAACAGAAGAAAAACACCAAATAATAAAAGCAGACTCAGGCTTAAAGTTCCATCTATAAAAGCAAAGAAAACACCATGTTGTCAGCTATTTCGAGTCAAAGCTCATCACCCTTTAAAAAATAATGAATTAGGATGCAAGAACGACACTGAAAAGCAAGAATTACAACAAAGGAAAAGTAAAACAGATACAGAGTTGCATCTTATTTCTGTATCTAAGCTTATTACTCCTCACATGAAAAAGCATTTCAGAAAAAAACTAGCAAAAGTTATGACAATAAAGTGTGGATTTTTTCGGCAGAAGCAAAATAAGTTACACGATACAGAGAAAATCAATTTTTCAGATTCTACTGAGCAAGGAACCTCAGGCATTATTAAAAGTATAAAAGAGTATGACAAAGAAAGTAAACAATTAAACGTCTTACCAGACATGTTACATCAGATAGAACCGTCTTTCACAGTCATTGCTAATGACCTAAAAGCATTTAGTTGCTCATTATTAGAAACAAACTGCAAGAAGAAAGAGTCTCCTAAGGATCCGAGTAAGCTGGGTCTTGGTCTGCACGTTCCAAAGCATGCGATGCTTTCAGAAGTTACATCAGAACCTAAGCACAAACTTGTGTCACCTCCCCAGGTGAAACCAAACAAAAGAATGGAAACACAGAAGGACCGACAAAGCACAGCAGATCCCTACCCACGATTCTTAGATGAGGAGGACTTATCATCTGTTGCACCATGTAAACAAAGGTGCTTTCCAGTTAGAAAGGCAAGGAAGGCACAAATTTCAAAGATATTTAATATTCCATGGTGTGGTCATCACAGACATTTACCACCAAAAGCCCTGAAAGCACAGACTATTGAATTTTTAATATGCTCTGGGATCCTACTTGATAGGTTTCATAACACTGTAGTGGATGATGCAGTAACAGAAAGAAGGAAAGGATTAGCACAAGAATTACCAGCAACAATTCTGGAGTCCTTCATTTTCTCCAAACTTATTTCACCTGCATCTGAAATAGAGAGAGACATATTAGAATGTATGGACAAGACACATAAAATGAACCCCAAACATGTAACTTTGAAGGCGAAGAAGGCAAAGACAGTTAACATCACAGGATGTGATATAGGGAATCATCCAAGTCATTTAAGATGCTACTCCAAAACCAAAATGAAACAAAGAAGACTTATGGCAGATATATTCCTAAACCCAAATTCATCATCTTTGATGGTATCCCTTAACATGAAAGTGTGTAACAGAATAATAGTGACAGATATGCTAAAAAGAACAGAATCACAGAAAGGTGTCTCTCTACATTTCAATGTAAAGCCATGGGAAACAAAGCAATCAAATGTAACCAATATTCCCTTACAATCAAATAGACAGAAATTAGACTTTTCAAAAAAATTAAGGGTAAAGCAACCGAACATTTATAAACAGAATGAAGAAACTCTTTTGAAATCTGTCTTTTCTTGCATAAGGCATCAGCTTAGTGTTGAAACTCCAAAAAAAAAAAAACAAGTCTCATCAAAAGCAATCTTAAAATCAAAAATTTCAAACATCACAGTAAAGAAAGCATCAAATAAAGTTGGTGTTCCAGAAGATAAACTTCCAAATGCAAAGGGAACTGATCTACAAATTAGAGGAAGAAAAGAACATCAACAAAAAAGTACAGGCATGACTCTTGCAACATCTGCTACAAACCCTCCAATAGATATGTATCAGATTATATCCTCCTTGGTAAAGAAAGTGGTAAAGAAGTTAGATAGTCAGGGGTACCACACTTTAAATACAGAAAAGAGAGAAGGGCAAGACATATGTTTACATAAAACTCTTCCAAAGCCCACATCTCTCTCCAAAGCAGATCCACTTCAGACTAATATGTCAATGCAACAAGTAAAAGTAGGTGCCATAAACACTACACATTGGGGCTATTTCACTTCACAGAATAGAGACGCATTAAAACAAGTGTATGTTATAGATGGACATACTAAAATAATTAAAAAAGGAACTGAATCAAAGCATCTGTCAGTTTCCTATAAGAACACTGAGGGATATATATCTTACCGCCCAAGTTGTCTACATCTCCAGCCACATTTAATGTGTCAGAAAAAACAAGCATTCTCAGCATCAAGCAATGTGTCAAACAAGACAAAAACACCAGACTTGTTTCCTAAAGATCATCTGAGTGCTGAACATAAATATGGATGGGAATCTAGTGTGTCTCCAGTTACTCCAAGGCAACTGAAAAAACAAAATGCAATGCTGCTTTTAGAATCATCCAGTAAAAGTATAAAATATGAGAATCTTTTACTTTTAAAAGGAAAAAAGTCATTAGATGAGGCACAGGTAATCAAGCCACTTTCAAATGATAGCTCACCCAACCTACCAGTTAGAAAGTACATGGAAGTACATAATGAACAAAAAGAAGCATATCTACCTGGAATAATTTTAAGTTCTTTTTCTGAATTTATATCTCTATTGCTTGAAAGTAAAAGACAGGAGGGTAGCATGAAACAAAAAGCTATGAAAGACAAAATATGCCTCCCCAGAAGTGCTCTCACATTGAAGAATACAGTCAATGCCCCTGACTGTGCTGACTCAGTCAATGGGCTCACACTGCAGTGTGACATAAAAGAGAAAATGATACATATGAAACATAGAAAGAGTGAAGGAGGTTTGGTTATGACAAAAGCATATGAGCCTATCCCTTCTTTACCTCAACTCAAAATGGATAAAGAGACAATCAATGAGGTTTTCTCAAATAATGCAAAAAGAACAAAACAACATATATCACACAAAGAAAATGACAGTGCAAAACCATTGGAAATGAAAGGAATAATGGACCATAACATTACTTTCAAGGTAGAAAAATCTTCACTGTCATATGCATTCAGAAGAAAAGAATTGCCTTTACTGTTGCACAGTATAAAAAAAGAGAGGAAGGTGCAAGAAGGTAAAGGTAAATCAGAGCAGAAACTGACACATTCTTACATTTCTTTGTCATCTCTATCATGTCTTAATTTGCATTCAAGAGCAGAAGTAGGAAAAGATAAGCCAAGAATATTAAAGAGCTGCCTTCTGCCATCAAAAGCCTGGGCATCATCAAATGTTAAAAGAGTATCCTTGGCAGGGTTGGCTAATCAAGAGAGTCTGTGCAATGCACTAGAATCAAAATGTTTGCTCCAAAAGGAGGAGAAAGCTGAAGACAGTATAGTAGATGCGAAAGTTATACTAGACCTCATTTGTACCTCCCTGAAGAGGAAGAATTCACCATTTCAACAAATACTGCATGAAAAGAAACCAGAGTGGGACAGTGAAAAACAAGAGATAGAGATTGTGCAGAAGAAAGAAAATAATCTAGGTGTAGCTCAGATCAAATCCAGGGATTTCATCCCTCCTTCAACTCATGTGGAAAGGGATTCCAGAATGAATGAGATATTCATAGAAGGATTAAACCGGTTCTGTCTTCCATCACTGACACTCCAGGAGTTGTCAGAGGTAACAAGTAAGCAGCCAGAGAAAGCAGACAGAATAGGTGAAGAACAAGGGAGAGAGGATGGAGAGGGAAAAGAACAAGGAAAAATAGATAAGAAAGGTGAAGAGCAAGAGAGAGTGGATGGAGAGAGCAAAGAGGAGAAGAAAGTAGAAGAAGAGAGGAAAGAGCAAGAGAAAATGGGTGGAAGAGGTGAAGAGCTAGGGAGAATGGATGGAGAGAAGCAAGAGCAAGAGCAAGTGGAAGAAGAAAGGAAAGAGCTAGAGAAAGTGGAAGAAAGGAAAGAGGAAGAGAAAATGGGTGGAAGAGGTGAAGAGCGAGGGAGAGTGGATGGAGAGAAGCAAGAGCAAGAGAAAGTGGACACAGAGAAAAAAGAACTACAGAGAGTGGCCAGAAAAGTTGAAGAGAAAAGGAGAGTGGATGGAGAGAGGAAAGAGCAAGGGACAATAGACAGAATAGAAGAGAAAGGGAAAATGGACCTAGAGAGGAAAAAGCAAGGGAAAGTGGATGGAAAAGGTGAAGAGCAAGAGAGAATGGGTGGAGAAGACAAGCAGCAAGAGAAAGTGGACAAAGAGAGAAAAGAGCATAGGAGAGGGGACATAAAAGGAGAAAAGAATGGGAGAGTGATCAGAGAAGGAGAAGAGCAAGGGGAATGGATGCAGAGTGGAAAGAGCAAGAGAAAGTGGACAGAAAGCTTGAAGAGCAAGGGAGAGTGGATGGAGAGAAGGAGCAAGGGACAGTTGATGGAGAAGGGGAAAAATGAAGGAAATTGGATGGAGAGAGGAAACAGCAACAGAAAGCAGATAGAAAAGGTGAAGAGTAAGGGGGAAGGTGGAGAGAGGAATGAGCAAGAGAAAGTGGACAGAAAAAGTGAAAAACAAGGGAACATGGGTGGAGAAAGGAAAAAGCCAGAGAAAGTGGACAGCAAATGTGACAACCAAGGGAGAATTGACAGAGAGGGGGAAGAGCAAGAGGAATCGAGCCAGGGAACAAAGAGCAAGAGAAAGTGGATGGAAAACTTCAAGAGCAAGGAAGAGAGTATAGAGAAAGGAAAGTGGATGGAGCAGTTGAAGGGCAAGGGAGGGTCGATGGAGAAAGGAAAGAGCCAGATGAAGTGGACAGAAAAGTGGAAGAGCAAGGGGATGTACAGAGAGAGAAGAGAGGAGAAAGTGGACAGAGAAGGTGAAGAACATGGGGGTGTGGAGAGAGAAGAGAAAGAGCAAGAGAATGTGGAGAGAGAGGGGGAAGAGGAAGGGAGAGTGGATGAAGAGAGCAGAGAGCAAGAGAAAGTGGACAGAAATGTGAAAGAGCCAGGGAAAGTGCAGGGAGTGAGCAAAGGGGAAAACAAAGTGAATAGAACAGCAAAAGAGCAAGGAAAAATTCAGGGAGTGAGAAAAGAGGAAGAGAAAGTGGACAGAAAAGTGAAAGAGCCAGAGAAAGCACACGGAGAAGGTAAAGAACAAGAGTGTGAAACTGGAGAATGGACAGTGGACAGAGCATTAGAGGAGGAAGAGAGAGTGGACAGAGAAGGTGAAGAGCAACAGTGTGGGGATACAGAATGGACAGTGGATGGAGAGGTAGAAGAGGAAGGGAGCGTGGACAGTGAAGGTGATGAGCAAGAGGGCGGGGACAGAGAATGCACAGTGGATGGAGAGTTAGAAGAGGGAGGGAGAGCGGACAGAGAAGGTGAAGAGCAAGGGAGAGTGGGTGAACAGAGGAAAGAGCAGGAGAAAAGATGTGAAGAAGACAAAGAGCGAGTGACAGGGGAGCCAGAATTTGAAGATCAAAGTAGAGTGAATGAAGATGGTAGAAAGCAAAGGGATACAGAAAAGGGTAAAACACAGTTTTTTGAGAAGAGCATGAGGCACCCCAAATGCACTTCTGGGAAGGCAAAAAAATCACTCCTTTCCTTTATTCTCAAAACAAATAAACTGCAAATAAAAATTAAAGGGCAGAGTCGGGAAAGTGGTGAGAAAACACTTATGCATCTGAGAAAAACCTGTGGTTTTGTCACTTCATTTATCTCTGAGCTAGAGAAACTAGAAGAGGATGAAGAGGAGAAGGAAGCAGAGCAGGAAATAGAAGAAGGAGGAAAGGAAGAGGAGAAAGAGGAAGAAAAAATGGAAAGAGAAGAAGAGGATGGAAAAAAAGATGAAGAAGAGGGAGAAGAAGAGGTAGAAGAGAAAGAGGGAGAACAGGAAAAGGGAAAACAGCAAGAGGAGGGGGAGGAGGAGGAAGAGGGAGAGGTAGAAGAGGAAAGAAGAGGAGGAGGAGGAAGAGAACGAGAAAAAAGAGAAGGAGAACAAAAAGGAAAAGGAGACTCAGGAATAACGAGCAGCTGGGTGGCGCATGCCGCCCTCCGGGAGTCACTGCCTTCCGCATGTCCAGGGTCCACGGCCAGCTGTATGTGGCACAGAAAACCGTGTTTACTGCGGAAAGAAGGCAGAGTCCAAACCTCGGGCACAGATGGCTTGGTGCCGCCTAATGGCGCGCTTATCGTGGCAAGGCCATCAGGAACTCCTTCTGTGCTCATGACCAAGGAGCACAGTCCGCTGAGCGAGGGAAGAGAATCACAGCGGAGCATTAAAGGAAAAGTAGGAGAGCAGCAGGAAAGAGCAAGGAGTTGCGTTGGGGTTCTGACAGAAACTCATCCTTCCGCGCCTGCTCCAGGTCAGCACAGCATACTTCCCCAAAGCAAGGGACTGAGAGCAGAGGTGTCTCACATGGTGCATCTCTATAGGGTGAAGACACCACTTGTGAATATAAAAGAGTGTGGGAAAGGCCGGCAGGTAGGGAAGAGTGAACCAGATATAGTTCTGAGGAAAACTGCCCTCTTTCCTTCTCTCCCACCTTCCTTGAATTGGGACAGTGGAGCGAGTGCAAAGGAAGTTACGGGAGGAAGAATGCAATTCTGTCTGAAATCGTTAAATATTCAAAGTGCATCAGATTCAGGTGAAAAGGCATGTTCCAAGTTCAGCAACAGACGAGAACCAATGCTATCTATAGCACAAGAGAAAGAAAAAGATGGACTCACAATAGATGGGAAAGACAAAATGCTCCCCAAATGTGTGGATCCAAAGCTAAAGAAATTACCACTGTCACATACACTCAATGCCCGGGAATTGCCGTGGAAAACCAAAGAGCTTAGGAGGAAGATGCAAGAAGATAAAAATGAACTAATGACAGATATGGCAAACAGAATTATAAAATTGTGTCTCTCACAAATGCAGTCTAAGACATCACTGGATACAGGGACAACAGCACCTTCAAAAATGACAGATGCAGAAATTTCAAATTACACAAAAGAATTTAAAAAACACGTCACAGGAAGAAAGGAAAAGTACAGACAAAGTTACGAGGATGAAGACTAGAGTGGATCCCAAGGATATATGTTTGATGACAGAGAAATCACCTACTTTACATAGACACAATTTAAATGACCTTCAGTGGAAAACTAAAGAGCAAGAGGAAAAAGTTCTGGAAGATAAAAGTGAGCCAGCTATAATGCTGACTAAGACTTCCACTGTGAGATCTGCTCTATTCTTTAATGTGAATACCAAAATCAAGGAGGAAAGTAAACCAGTGTTTATAAAATCCTCTTTTTCAAAACTAAACTTCCAGGGATCATTAGATCCTAAAGGAGGCATGAATATAAAATCATTTACTAGTGATATTTTAATCAAGGTACAAAATGGAAAACAACATATGCCACAGAACCAGGAAGAGTATGAAGCATAGAAAGAAAAGCATGTCGTGTCTCCCAAACATCAAGAAATGAAGGTGCAGGAACATCGACATGAACCGGGTGTGGTTCTGACCAAATCGACTTCATTAGCACCACTTCTTCACCTCAGACTGGAGAAAGATGCAGATTTACGTGCTAAAGTGCCAAGATGGTCAAGGTCTGCTTTGCAGACAATGTCAGATGCAAAGGAAACAATACCCACAGAGTCAATTGGTAATGATATCATGAAAGATATTAAAACCAAAAGTGGTCTGCCTCAGAAAGAAGAGATAGATAGAAAAAAAATAGACAGGAGAGGAACAGATATGACTTTGAAATCCAAAAAATTACCTCCTTCCTCTAAGCTCTACAGAACAGAACTGTATATGTGTATTAGCAGACACAAAGGAAAAGAACATGAAGATCAAGGTAAACTGCGGGATGTAATGGTTCTGAGAAATGTTAATGTTTTTGAACCTTCTCCATTTCACCTTAAACTGGATGAAAGTAAACAAATAGATGAAGAGAGGCTTGGAAGTAAAACATCTTCCCCTCTGCCAGTACCACTTTCAGCATTATCAGTTGCAAAGAAAATAGCAGACACAGAGGCAATGAATAGCCATGTAAGAAAAAGAAACCAGCCTATGTCACAGCAAGAAAGAAGGGGTGAAGCTGCCATGGTAGCTGTGAGGATTGGGGTACGTTGCCAAGTGCCAAAGATTTCATCAGTTTTGCATATCCTTAATGCAAAGGAATGGTCACTGAATTTGCAGGTGCTGGAGAAAAGAATGCACAAAGATAAAGGCGAGCAATGTGTGATTATGACAAGGACTTTTCTTTCCATACCATCCATACCTCCCATTAATCCGAATTCAAGGAAAAAAGTAGACAAAGCTATGGCAGCAATTACAGCATCCTCTTCTCCACAGCAAAGCGGCCAATCATCTCATGTCCAGAAATCATCACGTGTGCAGAGAACAGCCAATCGAGAATCAGTGGAAGGTGATGGTAAAAACCTTGATAAAAAAGCAGAACACAGTGTGCCCCACAAAGAGAAGGAGCAACTGCGGACTTCAAACTGCATGGTCACTGCCCAGCAAAGAATTGAACATTTACAAATTGAATCAGAAAGAGATGTGAATTCACAGCATGTGAACATTTATTCCACTAAATCTGGTATCAGAAGTGGGGGAAGGCTGGAATTGCATTTCACTGGACAAAAATCTCAGCAAGAAAAACATGAAAAAGAACCTTTTGTTATATTCCCCTGTACAGGGGATAAAATAGGTGAAAATCTGAAGAAAGAAACCAAACTAATGGATAATTTAAAACAAACAGTAAGTCCTGAGGGTTCAGTTTTACTTTTACGACTCAAGAAAACACTGAAGGAACTGCAGGTTGCACTTAGCACCTCTGAAAACTCAAAAGAATTCTCTGTTTTAGAGAAGGATGATCATGGATCACCCGCAAAAGCTTTAGAAAAAAGAGAATGTCTTCTACAATTGCTTCAGAAGACCCTTCATCAACTCCAGCCTTTGCTACTTCAATCAGTACACCTGGCAGAAACAGACAAAATGAACACAAACATCACAACAAATGTGGAACAGAAAAAATTAGAAAAGGACAATAACGGTGTGGTGAATCTTGAAGAAAGGAAATTGCAGCACAAACCTTTAACACATTTTACTCCTGAAGAACAAAATAAGCTCATTAATCATTTAGAGTCAAAAGCAGTTGAAATAAAACTAAATCAGATACCAGAGATGGCAAAAAATTACACACAAAAGTTTAGCTTTTATCTAAAGCAAGCTACTTTTGAAGAATACCAACAGAGACTCTACCCAAGACTGGAAAAAAAGAGTAGGTTCCCATTATGGTCTCCAACTCTTCAAGTAGACTCAATGAAAGGAAAAGAAAAACTTCTTATGCACTTTTCTGTGAAAATATTGGAGATAAAAATGAATGCCTTTTCCAGAATTGTAAGAGAATCTTATGCGAGGATCAATGTCCCTGAAAAAATGAAACTTTTACCTGACTGTATTCATTCTGCTGTCAAAATACCAAAACAAAAAAACAGAATCCTGGGGCTGGGGATTTAGCTCAGCGGCAAAAGCGCCTGCCTGGCAAGCGCGAGGTCGTGAGTTCGGTTCCCGGTACCGGAGAAAAACCAAAAAAAAAAAAAAAAAAAAAAAAAAAAAACAGAATCCTGTTACTCTTTGATGAAAAATCTCTTGATGAAATAAATCTTAATTTACAACACAAATACCTCCATTATCTCCTGGGCTTTACTGCTGAAAGTACATTCCCTAAGCCAAATGCTTTTCCAAAACATCTCTATGATTTAAATACAGCTTGCTTATGTAAAAAAGCAGATGACAGTGGAGCAAACTGTTCTCTTTCCCATAACACAAAACTATTAGAGGAACACATTACTTTCAAAAAGCAGTGTCTCCATGAAAACTCATTACTCTTCAGCAAAGGACCAGAGCCAACTCCTGAGTGTGCCTTTAGCCCTGGTCTACACAATAGGGTACAGGAAGACACTAGCATTCTTTCAGGGTTAAAATCCTATGTGACACTAGAAAAAGATAAACTATCAAGTATCATCTCAAGAAACAAATACATATAAATCTTTTGATATAAACACCCAGGAAAATGCTACTGGTTTTGATGATTCACAATCAAGAAAGATACCTGATAACTTCACTGATACTCTAATAGATACTGAGAATTCAGTTATGTTGGAGGAGTGCATGGCTCCTGAAGTAGATGACAGTGATGCAAGTATATTTTTAGAAGCCAACACTTACTTAAGTCGTGAGTCACAAAAAATTCTATATGAAGTACAGAATGGCATTCCTCCAACCAATCTCTTCGCCATTAAAGACATCTTACCTTATCTGAAAGCATTTAACAATAAAGATTCAGGTTCCCCTCATATTAGAGCCTGTAGAAAACACACCCGGAATATAGCACCACCGTCCTTTGAGTCTTACAGGAGGAGGAACCATAAATCACCCTCCAAAATGCAATCACCCGACTGGCGTACTTCCTCACATAATCTGGACATTCAGCCCATGTCATCTTGCATGTCATTCAGTGAAGAGAGATTTTCATGGACTACAGGCAGTGAAACACATTTCTATTTATTAAGTATTAAAGTACATGTTGCAAAAAACCAAAGCAAGTCTCACATGTACCCTCAAAGCAAAAAAAGAAAGAACCCCAGATCTAATTTACCTAGAAAGAGAAACAAACACTGGGACTATGATTCTCATTACTGCCACACACACAGCAAAGGCAAAAGCACAAGAAAGAATGAAGTGTGTGATTATGAGTCAGAAAAGCTAGATTACTCCTACTTCCAACATAAGCACAGGTCAACATCAAAACCTCATCAGGAGGAAATCCACTACCATCCTGGAAAAATCCGAAACAAGCCCTTCATTTATGCTTGTGTAATAACAGAGTCAATGGATGAGATACCTAAGACGATACGTTGGAATATTCCTGCAGACATCTTAGAAACAAACTTTAGAGTGCCCCAGGTGGCGAAGATGTCTAACAAGTGGAATATATGGAGCTTGGCGAGAAACTCAGAGTGGTTTGAGGGTCATTGAGCATAGACAATTAAAGTTGATATGCCTCCAAAGGTTCCTCTGAAGCAGAATGCTGGTCAGTTGTTATTTATTTTTTGTGGTAGCGGGAATCAAACTCAGGACCTTGCGCTTGCCAGGCATGTGCTTATGCTGCTGAGCTATATCCCTGGTGGTCAGTTGCTATTGTAATAGAATGTCAACTGGTTTCTTCATGAACAGTTTTCTCACCTGATATACTTTTTTTTTTTTTGTGGTTTTTCTCCGGTACCGGGAACCGAACTCACGACCTTGCGCTTGCCAGGCAGGCGCTTTTGCCGCTGAGCTAAATCCCCAGCCCACCTGATATACTTTATATCTAAGGTAGATTTGTGCAGTTGTTCTGGGAGGCCAGAAGAAAGAGCGGGTGATTCGGAGCTTAGTCCTATCATGTGTACTCTCCTGGTAATGGATGCTGCCTTCTCCTAATCTTGAGTAGTTCACAGATTCAGAAGCCCTCTTCCCACCCTACACCAATGACTGCAGAATGAGTAGGCAGAATTGTAGCTATACATGAGACGGAGAATTTCTACAATTAGGAGGACACAAATACAGAGATGAAAGGGGGAGAGCTGAGATACCAGTGAGGGTTCCAGTGAAAAATGCCACACAATATAGGGACAAGAGCTGAGTTTGACAATCAGATTGAATGTCTTAACTCTTTTATTATAAAGAAATTTGAGCATGCATACACACACACACACACACACACACACACACACACACACACAGAATAATATGAGTTCCTCACACCCATTTAGCAGACTGAAACTATCAACTTAGAGCCAAACCTGTCTTTTCCACTTTCCATCCACTTCTCCTCCACTACTATTTTGAAACAACTCCTACATATATCATTTGACCTATAAATATTTTATTATGTATCTCCATAAGAGCTAAGTCAAGGCAAAGTCTGTTTCATTTTTCATTGATACGGGGGCCACTTACCCCTTTCTAACCTACTACATAGGACACACCCTCCCCTCTGAGGTCTCTCTCATGGGAGTCAAAGAAAGACATTTCCTTCAGATCATGAAAAACCCTTCCCTTGTCTCCTAGGGAGATTATACCTTTACCCATTCTTTCCAAGAGATAAGTGCTTTGAGAGATCGCATGGCCACTTTCCTAACTAAAAAGGAGCTACTTCCTTTCTTAGACTTCTTGCTTAACCCCTATCTCAGGCCTCTAAAAGGCCTATTATTGACCCCCTAGGCCCCCCAGTCCCAATTGAGATATCTTTCCAAAATTTAAGACCCACTGCTGAAAATTCATTGATTTCTTATTTTGGATCAGAGTAAGCCAGATAAAGTATTTTGAAACTGGAGATTTTATATATATAAAGCAAATTGCCCACCCAAAGTATTAGCACCAAAGTTTTAGACAAATGAACCACTCAGAAAATAAATGCCACCAGGTTGATTGAGTGCTCCTCAAAATACAGGAGAAGACGTGGTAAACAATCGAGTATTGCCACAGTCTGAAAGTGGGCACAAGAGTAAGCCTTGCATATATTCTCTAGCTTTCACTTCAGGATGGAAAACAGAAGATGCAGAGATTATTCCTCTCCAGACTCATCCAGAGGTCTCCAAAGCCCCGCCCCCACTGTGATGTCACTGACTGCCCTGCTGTGTCACAAGCAGCATTAAGGGGGTTTGCCCAGTCCAGGAACCGAGGCTGGCTGAGCCTCCTGGTCAACCTGCTTGCCTACCCTGGGGGAGTGAGGCCTAAGGCTGCCCTGATTCTGAGGCAGTGGGCCAAGCTCTCCCTGGTGGGTGACAGGGGGTGTAGGCAGGACAAGGGTTCCTCTGCTCCTCACCCCCAGCCCAGAACCCAATGTGCTGTCAGGTGCTGCATCTCTTCCCTGTGTTGTGGTGGCTTGTCCTTCAGGGACAGTCAGGCTCAGCAGCCACCACCTCTCAGAAAGGCCCTGGGTCACCCCTCCCACTCACAGTGACAAAGCGAGCGGTGGGTTGCTGATGGTCCTGAGCATCTCACAGAAACCCTCGGAGATCTCAGCACCCGTGGCCTGCGGCTCTTATCTTCCCAGGCAGTGTTTGCCCTCATGTCAAGGATGGGAGTGGGAAGGACAGGTGTGAAATGAGTGTGGACGGACCCCAGAGCACGGTGTGGGGAGGTCAGCAGCACAGGGACCCCGCTGTCTGAGTGGCTGGGCCAGGAGCCCAGGACAGAGGTCAAGCCAGGCAAGAAAAGATCGAGTATGGGGCAGAGGTAGGCATGGTGGCCGCACAGCCATGGCGTCGTGAGTGGGAGAGGAATGAATCAAAGTCAATCTCGAAAACAACTCACGCCTAGGTCGGCCTGTCAGGATGAAAGCGTGCATCCTCACAGCTGTGCAGGGTTGGTGTCACACACCCTAACAGCCTTAAATACCTGAGGAGAACAGAACCATGAACATTACTTCAGCAAGAGGGACAGGGAGGCCAAAGAGGCAGGAGGCCAATTTTGTATCCCACGGACGCTTTTTGAAAGTTACGCTCAGCAAGGCTGAGAGGAAGCTGTTGACCAGGAGAGCCCTGGCTGGTGGCTCCTCGGCATCTGTGCATCACAAGGCACAGGTGGGGAAAGGCCGTGGCTCAGGCCCTCCATGAGGCCCCCACAGTGACTCTTTTCCTTGGACCCTCATGGGCCTCTGACCACAGCGGCCTTGACCTTCTGAAAGGTGACTTCATGTTTGTCCGCGGGGTCAGGGGTGAAACTCCATTTCCCAGTGGGAATCCGAGGCCCCTGTCCTCGTGTTCACCCATCAGCCTGTAAACACGTTTTCAGGGGTGGCTGTGGGGTGCCACCCAGCTGGGTCCCTACGGGCAGAAATGCAGATAAGGGACCAGGTGACTGCACAGGGGCCATGGTGACACAGTGGCTCTGCCACTGACCGGGAGGGACCCCACCCCACAGAAGCGGCCAGACCGAGTGGGTCCTCCTGCTCCTTCCGTGTCCCCTGCAGCACGCACAGTGGGCCACCTGTCTTAGTCACGGACCCGTTGGGTCCAACCCTTCTTTTATAAAGCTTGTAGCCAGCAGATCCACTGGACATCACACCTCAAGCAGTTTGGTGAATTATTCTCCCCCAATCTTAAAGAAAACGTCCAGGTTTCCGTGCTGACAAAGCTTTCAGGTTCATGAAATATATGAAATTTTCCCTAGAAGTTGTTGGGGTCATCCTATACGTCCTTCAGTACTTTTTGTTCAAGTTGCTATCAGAACTGTGAGATAGAATTGGCAAATGCAGCAGGATTCACTGCCACCTGGAACAAAGCAGAAACCTCATTAAGAGGAGACCAGCAAAGCAACATGCTGCAGCCCAGTGAGACCTCTAGGGGAGGTCTGGGGAGGACAAATAAATCACATGTACATTTTGTGTGTGGGTTGTTTCATTTAATATTTTATTTGTGACATTTATCTGTGGGGAACTTGGTGACTTCTCATAGCATTGTTCTCATAGTTGTAATGGTTGATATATTGTGTCAATTTGAGAAGTTTAGAAGCTTAGCTAAGTAACTCAGTAGATCTACATCCTAGGGAGGACATGTCCTGGGGCGGCTGTTTATGCTCTAGGATGTTGTAATGGTTCATCCGCTGTGTCAACTTGGGAAGTTTAGAAGTTTAACTGAGTGACTCAGAAGGGGGCCAGGGTCTTCACTTTCTAAACATCCCGAGCCTGCGCAAGAGGAAGGCACCAAGATGGTGTGAGTGCTACATTCACCCTAGAGTGGTAGCCTACTGAAAAATAAGGGAGGAAAAGAGGTTTTCTCTCCCCAGTTTTGCTCTTGTTGCTTTTGCTGTCTTCTGCCACCTTGAACTGTTGCCCCTGCGCTGTGCCATGCTGCCTTGGAGCCAGCTGATTATGGACTGAAACCTCCACAAACTGTGAGCTAAATAAACCTTCCCTTTTTAAAATTTGTGTGTCAGGTATTTTGTCTCAGCAACAAGAGAAAAGTAACTAAGACAATAATCCATCATAGACTGCACCACAAGCTTTCCATTCAAATACTAGTAGACAATACATCTTTTCAAGTTTTTGGCTGTTTTTCATGATGCTGCCATGAGCACGTGCACATAGGAATTTGGGAGGGATGAGTATGTCCTCGCGTCTTCTGTGTATTCACTCAGGAGCAAGGATGCTGCTTCACTGAGTTTTCATCTTCAGCTGCTTTACATACAGCTAAGTGGTTTTTCAAAGCAGTGGTATAAATTTACACACATTCTATGTAAAATTGCTGCTGCTGTCTGTCCTTGTCAACATTTTAAACTTGAATTTTTGTTCAGAGTGAGCCATTCTGGTGAGAGGCATCTCACTGTGATTTTAAACTTGCATTTCCCCAAGTGTTTCTTGTTTACTGACCTTTACCCAGTAAACTCAGTAAAGTCACTTATTAATTCTTGTAATTTACATAGAGATTCTTTTGTTTTGTCTCTGTACCCGGTCATATAATCTGAAATCAACAGTAGTGTCATTTCTTTCTTTGCTTTTTATTTATTTTTCTGGCTAGAATGTCCTACTACAATGATGACTAGAAATAGTGATTTCTGTTGCTTTATGGTCATTTCAGAAGGGAACCTCTTAGTATTTGATAGTGAAGTATAATCTTTAGGCTTTCTGTAAGTGCTTTTGTTGAGATCAAGGCAATATCATTCTCTTTCTAGTTTCCAATAATTTTTTAAACTGTCTTGTAGGTGTTAAAGTTTACCAAATGTGTTTGTTACCTTTTTGAGAGGATCACATGGCTTTTGTTATTTTTTTTTTCTGTTAAAGGGGGAAATTCTATTGATCTATTTTTTAGTGGTAAGCCACTCTGCATTCCTGAAATACAAGCCATGTAGGTGTGCTGTTTTTTTATGCCATCTTTATGCGTAATTTGGTATGCTATTAGTTTGCTTCCTGTAATTCATGACTGGATTTTAAAATTTGAAAATAGCATTTTTGGTTTTGTGTTTTAGTTCGGAAGTTCTTCTTGAAAGCTCTCATTATGCATTTGTATTTGAGTCATGGGCTGTTTACAGCCTTCAA